GCACATGTGATTTCGGTACACAGTCGCATTTTGCATCTTAATATTGAGTGCCTGCGGCTTTGGTGTTAGAGATCACAGACGCAGGGCCGGGCAACAGAATTCATCTTCCATGCAGCCATGGTAAGCCATTGTCTTTTGGCTTCTGCAACCTCCATAAAAGCAGCGCCTTCCTTTCCCATACCAAGCGAAGCCCGTTGAGTGCTGCAGTTTTCCTGTTAACGTGTAGCAGCAGAAACCAAACTAAACCTCCCCACCACTGATCCAATTCTCTGGGATGATCGCTTTACCCCCTCCCCCCACCGCGTGGCTGGTATCAGGGAAGATCCCTGCTAGCCAAACGCGAAAAGCTCAGCGCCAATTTTGTCCGTTTCCGCCCCCCCTCCACCCCCCGCTTGGCTAACTGCAGGGAATTATTTCTTTTCAGGCACAGGCAAACAGCCCAGTAGGAACGGCCACCTCTGTCCCCTTAATTAAATTCCCGTGGTGGCGGCCCCCCCTAGAATTGCATGCAACTCAGCGTGGAAGCGGCATGTCTGCGGTTCTGCCCCGGACCTTCCATTTGCTTCTTTGGTTTTAACTTTCATGCGACACTGATGAGAGTCCCTATTGTGGCCTCTTTCCATCATGCCCTTGGAGATTTTTTTCAAATGTTTTGGCATTTTGTCTTTTGGAACGTAGTTCTGCTAGCATGGAATCCTCTCCCCATATAGCGATCAGATCCAGTACCTCCCATATGGTCCATGCTGGTGCTCTTTTTTGATTCTCGGACTGCATGGTTACCTGTGCTGATGAGCTCTGCGTGGTCACCTGTGCTCTCCGCTCTGGGCAAACAGGAAATGAAATTCAAAAGTTTGTGGGGCTTTTCCTGTCTACCTGGCCAGTGCATCCGAGTTCAGATTGCTGTCCAGAACGGTCACAGTGGTGCACTGTGGGATAGCTCCCGGAGGCCAATACCGTCGAATTTCGTCCACACTAACCCTAATTGGAACCGGCAATGTTGATTTCGGTGCTACTCCCCTCATTGGAGAGGAGTACAGAAATCGATTTTAAGAGCCCTTTATGTTGAAGTAAATGGCTTTGTTGTGTGGACGGGTGCAGGATTAATTGGATTTAATGCTGCTAAATTCGACCTAAACTCATAGTGTAGACCAGGCCAAACTGTCATCAGATTGGGCCAGTTCTTGATATAGTGCTCAAAACAGTCCACTACTGAGTTCCATTGCACGTCTTGTGGGAGAGTTAGCTTGGTTCCTCCCACTTTTTTCAGAGCAGCGGCTGCAAAGTGGTTGTTAGGGAAGCATTTTGCATTTTCGACAACATAGCCTTTATTTCTGGAACCCTGAAATCTTTGGCTAGGAGGTGCATCAAATGAGCACTGCAACCCTGGCTTGGTCTACACTATGAGTTTAGGTCGAATTTAGCAGCGTTAAATCGAATTAACCCTGCACCCGTTCACACAACCAAGCCATTTACTTCGACATAAAGGGCTCTTAAAATTGATTTCTGTACTCCTCCCCGATGAGGGGAGTAGCGCTGAAATCAACATTGCCGGTTCGAATTAGGGTTAGTGTGGACTAAATTTGACGGTATTGGCCTCCGGGAGCTATCCCACAGTGCACCATTGTGACCGCTCTGGACAGAAATCTGAACTCGGATGCACTGGCCAGGTAGATAGGAAAAGCCCCACCAACTTCTGAATTTCATTTCCTGTTTGCCCAGTATGGAGAGCACAGGTAACCATGCAATCCGAGAATCGAAAAAGAGCACCAGCATGGACCGTACAGGAGGTACTGGATCTGATCGCTATATGGGGAGACGATTTCGTGCTAGCAGAACTCTGTTCCAAAAGACGAAATGCCAAAACATTTGAAAAAATCTCCAAGGGCATGATGGAGAGAAGCCACAATAGGGACTCACTACAGTGCCGCGTGAAAGTTAAGGAGCTCAGACAAGCCTACCAGAAAACCAAAGAAGCAAACGGAAGGTCCGGGTCAGAGCCGCAGATATGCCGCTTCTATGCTGAGCTGCATGCAATTCTAGGGGGGGCTGCCACCACTACCCCACCTCTGACCGTGGATTCCGAGGTGGGGGTAATCTCAGCCGTGCCTGAGGATTCTGCGGACGGAGAAGATGAGGAGGAGGATGAGGACGAGCTTGCGGAGAACACGCAGCACTCCGTTCTCCCCAACAGCCAGGATCTTTTTCTCAGCCTGACTGAAGTACCCTTCCAACCCTCCCAAGGCATTATCCCAGACCATGAAGCCATGGAAGGGACCTCTGGTGAGTGTACCTTTTGTAAATATAAAACATTGTTTGTTTAAAAGCAAGCTTTTTTTAATGATTACTTTGCCCTGAGGACTTGGGATGCATTCGCGGCCAGTACAGCTACTGGAAAGGTCTGTTAACGTGTCTGGGGATGGAGCGGAAATCCTCCAGGGACATCTCCATGAAGCTCTCCTGGAGGTACTCCAAAAGCCTTTGCAGAAGGTTTCTGGGCAGTGCAGCATTATTCCGTCCTCCATGGTAGGACACTTGACCATGCCATGCTAGTAGCAAGTAATCTGGTATCATTGCATGACAAAGCCTGGCCGCGTATGGTCCCGGTGTTTGCTGGCATTCAAGCAACATCCGTTCTTTATCTTGCTGTGTAATCCTCAGGAGAGTGATATCGTTCATGGTAACCTGGTTGAAATACGGGAATTTAATTAAGGGGACAGAGATGGCCGTTCCTACTGGGCTGTTTGCCTGTGGCTGAAAAGAAATCCTTCCCTGCAGTTAGCCAAGCGGTGGGGCGGGGTGTGGATCATTGGCGCTGAGCTTTACGCGTTTGGCTAGCAGGGATCTTCCCTGATACCAGCCACGCGGTGGGGGGAGGGATAAAGCAATCATCCCAGAGAATTGGACGGGTGGGGGGGGTTAGTTTGGTTTCTGCTGCTGCACGTTAACAGGAAAACCGCAGCACTCAACAGGCTTTACTTGGTATGGGAAAGGAGGGCGCTGCTTTTATGAAGGCTGCAGAAGCCGAAAGACAATGGCTTACCATGGCTGCATGCAAGACGAATTCTGTTGCCTGGCCCTGCGTCTGTGATCTTTAACACCAAAGCCGCAGGCACTCAATATCAAGCTGCAAAATGCGACCTTGTACTGAAATCACATGTGCTATGTAATGTGAATAGTGTTGTTCACCATGAAAGAGTATAAGCACTGTTCTGTAAAATGTATCTTTAAATACTTCTCTCTCTTTTTTCCCTCCCTTCCTCCCGCAGCTGCACATTTTTCAAGCCTCCCTCCTCCGTCCCAAAGGCTATCTCAGATAAGGCTGCAAAAAAAATGGACGCGTGACGAAATGTTCTCTGAAATCATGGAATAGACCCGCAATGAAAGAGCTCATCTGAATGAATGGAAGGACACGGTATCAAAGTACAGGAAAGATACCGGTGAACCTGAGGACATGGCGGACCAACGTGAGGACAGAAGGGACCAACGTGAGGAGAGGAGAGATGCTCGAGATAAGAGGTGGCGGGATGGAATGCTGGGGCTGCTGCGTGAGCAAACGGACATGCTCCGGCGTCTGATGGAGCTTCAGTAACGGCAGCAGAGTGCCGCTGCAGCCCCTGTATAACCGTCCTCCGTCCCCCTCACCATGTTCCATAGCCTCCTTACCCAGATGCATAAGAACGTGGGGGTGGGGAGGCTCCGTGCACCCTCCCACTCCACCCTAGTGGACAGCCCAAGCAAAAGGCTGTCATTATTTTGAACTTTTGAAGTGGTCTTTTCCTTCCCTCCTGTCCTCCTCCCAAACCCCACCCGGGCTACCTTGTCAGTTCTCCCCCAATACCTTGCAATATTATCTTACCAGCTTACCAGAGGGTAGTTGCAGTTACCTTCCCTGTGTTGTTATTTTGGAAATAATCCTATATAAATGTTACATTTTTTTTTATCTTCTTGTAAAGTGTTGTTAAACATTCAATGCTTTGTTTGTCAGAAACCTGTAACTACCAATAATTGTTCAGTTAAGGGTGTGATTAAAAAATGTGGCCTCTCCGACATTAATATTGTGTATTTTTAAAATATCTATATTGGCGTAGGACTTTATTACCAGATGAAAAAATATAATCTCTCATATTCTGGTGTCATTTTCTTAATACATCTACCAATTACAGTTCTCTCTGAGAATTTGGTAGCTGTAAGAGGCATTTTTTCTTTTTTCTCATATCCTGTGTTTTGGTCACCCTTAAGCAATGGTTTGAGGACACAGTCAAAGTCTTTTGCCACATAAACTAGTCTCTGCATGTTTTCAGTAATTCTTAGTAATAAGTAGTCTAGGGGTGCCATCGCTTGTATAATGATGAGTCACTTTATGGTCACATAATGTGCTGTGTGACGTATTTCTCTTCCCTATCACAAGCTATCAGTTAAGTATGTATCTGGCTTTTATTGTTTGTATAGTTTATCTTGGGAGTCAGACTTGTAGTTAAAACTTTAAACATTAAGAAATAACCAAGTCTGAAGGGGGAAAAAAGTTCCTCTTCTCGTCATTGATACTGTCATATAGTCACTAAAGTGAAGTAATCAATGTAAATTGAAAAATGCAGAAGATAAATATTTTTTTAATTTCTCTTTTAAGTCTTCTGAATAATTAGAAATATACTTGGTCAGTAGTGTCTGAATTAGTTACTCATTCCTGTTTAAAAAAACCCCCAAAAACCTGCTGAAGAAAAATATTCTGTCTCTGACTTACAATGTTAGTCCTGGAATAAGTGAAATGTTCTGCAAAATAAATTCATGTTTGAAAATGTTCTGTTTTTTAATTAGAAAATACAGGGGTATATTTACTTGTTGGGTAAATATTGATTAAATGTTGATTAGTATCTAATATTGAAATTTATTGCTGTGAGTAAAAATAGAAAAATGCACATCATACACCATGTGATTATTTATTAAATTAAATCTGATGCTTTACTTGTTTCACTAATCTAGCCTTTTTTTATTTGCTGTAGGTACCGGGGCATCTTGCATCTACCCATTACTTGGAGCCACTTTGAATGGCTGGTATTTCCTAGCAACAGAAGTGGATGATATGTGTTTCAATTATGCAAAGAAAAATGTGGAACAGAATAATTTATCTGATCTTATAAAAGGTACCATATAATAATCATTCAGTAGCTTTCATTCCCCTTTGATGTTTCCACTTCTCCTGTTTTAAACAGATGTAATGATGTATCTTTGCCTTATTTAGTGGCTAATGAGAATTTACAGTCCTGTCAAATATATGCTACCCTGGTTTTGGTGTAGCAAAGAGGAACCACATGTTGCTAGACCATCCCCATTGAAATCAGACAGCCACAATTGGTCCAAAAACTTAACAAAAAACTCAATTCACTCTTATAAACCAGCCTGGACAGTTCTAGACTTTTGATGCATATGAATAATCAGATTTCTGCATATTTATGATAATCCCATCCAAAAATCTTTAAAATGAAGTTAAGGTTGCAGATACCTGCACAAAACACTGATAGGTAGCCTTTGATATGAACATGACAGAATTCATATTGTTGCATGCTGCCCCTTATGTGTGGAATGCTGTTCCCAAATCAATTTGTACAGTCAGTGCCCTGCTCTCCTTCAAATTCCTCCTCCTTTTTGTATGTGGATTTCCTTTTTATGGGTCTAAGATCTGGAGAGGGGGCCTGATCCAGCAGACTTTAGAAGGAGAGGGGTGTGGTAATCAGTCCCACTCGCTGTCCTGTGGAAGGGAGTCCCTATGCTGCAAATGCCACTAACAAGGAATTTCACTCCTGCAAATCTTTGTAAGTCCTCGGGATCAGGGCTTCATGCACCACCTAGGCTCCACAGGTAGGAGTGTGGTGCTCTCCTCAAATTGACCTTCTAATGTCTTCTGGACTTGGCCTTTTTTCCTGAGATCTGCAGGAAGTGGGAGAATGAGGAGGAAATGCAGCTAGTAGGATTCCAGTGGAAAATTCCTCTTTCTTGGTCTTTCTGGAGAGGGGTGCAGGAAGTGGAGCCTTACCCCTTTTCCTCCTTCCACAGCTTCTCAAATATTAGATTCAGCCTCCAATATGTAAGCCTTATGAGGCTGAGTCATGAGAGGAAGAGAAGTCATGAGACTTCAAACAATCAGCCTTAAGATACCCATCAGAGCCTACAAACCTGCTTATGGGTTTAAGAGGCGCCTCGGGGGCTCCCCCCCATCCCTATATTCCCAGCCTTCCTTAGGCTTGTCAGACTGCAAGCAAAAATATGGACAGTGGGGCTAACAAAGCTATTAAGATCTGATTGAAATTGTGTGTGGCCTCCTCTAAATCTCTTACACCTTGTAGGGTGGTGGGACCTTAGTGCACGTAATGCTTACGTTGGGAGGGTGATCACTGATCTCTGGCCCCCTCCTCCTAACCCCTCACATGCCTCCAGTAGCAGTGTTTCAAATTCAAAAGTTAATAAATCGTGTTAGACTTCAACTCAAGTTTGGTCCTGTGCACTATACCTCACCTAGAGGAATCTGGTAAACTAGGTTCTGTCTCTATTCTTCCTTCCCGTTTTTAAAAATAAAGTGGTAGAAAATTAAAACTTGAACTGTGAAGATCTATTTTTAGTGTGTAATAATAATTCTGGAACTCCACATACAGTTCACTTAAAATTTAATAGTCTAGGTCTGAAGCAGAGAGAATTTTTCTATCAGTTTTGAGACATGGCTATTTGAGGGGCCAAAATCAGATTTATAATGAAAACTCAACTTCAACCGTAACTATGGAGCACCTGCTATCGTTCTGAAAATAACTCTCATTCTATGATATTGGTTATAAGAAAAGCTGTTTAAGAACATAAGAATGGCCAAACTGGGTCAGACCAAAGGTCCATCCACACAGGATCCTGTCTGCCGACAGTGGCCAATGCCAGGTGCCCCAGAGGGAGTGAACCTAACAGGTAATGATCAAGTGATCTCTCTCCTGCCATCCATCTCCACCCTCTGGCAAACAGAGGCTAGAGACACCATTCCTTACCCATCCTGTCTAATAGCCATTAATGGACTTAACCTCCATGAATTTATCTAGTTCTCTCTTATATGCATTTTCTTTTGTTAGATGAACCTAAAGTTTGTTTGCAGTGTAGTATGTTGATGTTAAATTGGTTGTATAATCTGTTAATTATATCCTAAAGGAAGTGTTAAAAATACTTATGTAATACTAGAGTTAATTTTAATTCCTTACCAATAAACATCCTCTTTTTTTCTGCTAGTGGTTAAAGTACCACAGAAGACCCTTCTAATGGATGCACTAAAAGAGGAATCTGAGATCATTTATGATTTTTGCATGTGCAACCCTCCCTTTTTTGCTAACCAGTTGGAAGCCAAGGTACAGTATGTTGATTAGATAGATTGACTGTTGTACTTGCTTTTGGTCTTTTTTTTAACAGGTGGGAGGGTAATGATACCTCAAAAGATTAGTGTTTGAAGGCTCACTGTGAAAAACCTTGTGTGTCTGGGTTTTATAAGCTGTCATTTCATATATGTATATCTTTTTGATGATTTTTTAAAAAAAGCAACATTGCAAAACCCACCCAAGTCGCAATTTGTAAAAGATTGACTTAAATGAGTTTTTTTTTTTTTTTTTTTTTAAATTCTGAAGTAGGAATTGACCTGTGACATTCTTCCGTTAGTTGTATTTAAATGGTCTCTCTCCAATAGAATTAGCACAGAGTAGGCAATCACCATGGACCTGGTGCTAGTGTGCCTCCTGTAGTGGTTGAACAGAGGGGCTGGTGGGCCTCAGTGATGCTAGTACATCAGTGTCCTAGCGTTTGTCTTTGCTATTGCGGTACCAGTCTGAGGCTTGGTCTGCACTGTCGCTTAAGTTGATATGAGTTATGCTGCTCAGGGGGGTGAAGAAATCACCCTCCTGAGTGATGTAGCTTACATTGACCTAACACGGTGTCTACACCATGTTATATTGGCAGGAGAGCGTCTCCCCCCGACTTACCTTCTGCCTCTCAGGGAAGTGGAGTACTAAAGTCGACTGGAGTGCTCTTTCCCCAGACCCACTAAATTGACACTGCTGCATCAATTGCAGCGGTGCCTATTTAGCATGCCAGTATAGACAAGCCCTGACTCTAGACCAATGATTCCCAAACTTTAACAGCCCGCAAACCCCTTTCTCTAAATTGTGAAATCTTGTGAACCCCCTCCTAAAAATGAATATTTCCAGGGTTTTAAATTTAAATTTCCTCGGTGTGATGGATGCGCTTGCTTTGCTCTGCATAGCTCTTTGAAGTCTGGAACCTTTGGAGAAAGATAAAGTCTCGGGTCTGGTTCGGCATCAAGTCTGTTTCTGTATTTCGTTTTCAGATGTGCATACGAGGAAAACGCTTTCTCGCATAAGTATGTTGTTGAAAATGGTAACAAAACTGCAGCAGCTTTTTCTGCCAGAAGGGGGTACTCGTTTCTTAAACTCAGCCAAAAGTTGATCAATGACAGATTTCTGAAACTCCTTTTCAGTTCGTAATCACAGGAGATCTCAATCAATTTCTCTTTTTCCTCAGTGTTCAATATCTGTGTTGAGAAAGTGGTATCATCCAAAGGGTTGCGAATCCAGTCATTATAGCCTGATATAGCTGGAAAGTAATCCCTGAAAGTTGTGCAAAGTCCTTTTAGGTGTGCAGTTATATTGGTTTTAGTGCACTGATCCAACTGAAGTTTATGTTCTACCAGGAAGTCATGAAGATTACTGAAACACTCAGTTTGATTGTTTTCCAAACAACTTTCCCAGAACTGCAACTTCTTTATCATGGATTCAACTCGGTCTTGCACATTGAAAACTGTTATATTGAGACCTTGAAGAGATAAATTTAGGTCATTAATTCTTGAGAAAATATCTGCTAAATAAGCTAGGCTCTGGAGCCAGACATTATTTTCCATACAGCTGGCAAGGTGGAAAGGGTGGCTGTTGAAAAAAACTAGGATTTCCGTTCTAAGCTCAAACAAGCGCACCAGGATTTTGCCCCGTGAGAGCCATCTAACTTCAGTATGGGTCAACAGACAATCGTGTATACTACCCATTTCTTCACAAAGTACGTGAAATATTCTGGAATTTGTTGGCCGTGATTTTATGAAATTCACCATTTTCACTGCATTGTGCAGCACTTCCTGCAGTCCCTCAGGCATGCGTTTTGTTGCGAGGGCTTGTCTATGGATGCTGCAATGAGTCCAAGAGACTTTTGATGCAACCCTTTTTGTTCGAGCTACAAATCCAGGATACTTCCCCGTCATTGATGTGGCCCCATCAGTGCAAATGCCTAGGCAACGAGACCAATCTATTTCCTTTTCTTTCAAATATGCATTAGTCAGATTGAAGATATCTTCTCCAGTTGTACGTCCTTCCAATGGTCAGCAAAACAAGTCGTCTTCAACCAGACCTTCATTCATATAACATACAAACAGTAGCAAAATAGCTACATCAGTTGATTCATCCAACTGTATAGCATAATATGGACTATTTTTCACTCTCTGTACAATTATGGTCTCTACATTATTTGACATGTCATTAATTCTTCGTGACAACGTATTATTGGACAAAGGTACCATATCAATCCTTTTTGCAGCCTTTTCTCCGAGCATGCAATGAACTACGTCTTTTATACATGGACCAATCAAGCTCTCTGCTATGGTATGCTTCTGATGCTTTTGCTACTCGGTAGCTCACGCGGTATGATGCTTCAAGTGCATTTTCATTATCAGTATTTGCTTTGGGTATAAAACTGGTAATGTCACTTCGCTTGAAAAAATCAACAGGCTTGTCGAGTTGTGCAGGATGCCTAGTTTCTAAATGGCGCTGAAGTAGAGAAGGTTTGAGGCTGCTGTTTGCTAGAACATCACCACAAATCACACGCAGTGGTTTTGGACATTTTTGATCACCAATGCATGTAAATCCATATTTTATATAATCATCATCATATTTTATTTTCTTTGTAAGTGACTTTCCAGGACCATCATGATCATTAGACGTAGATGTTCCACAGTGTGGACTTGAGGAAACACTAGCTGATTCTTGCGTCTTTACACTTTCCTTTTTCAGCCACTTATCCATTGAACTTGTGTACAAAAGTTCTAATAAAAACAACACAGAGAGACTGCTAACAACCAACAAACTAGAAAATGAGAAGATTCACTCAAGTCTCACTGAAGCAAAACAGCACTCCAGAGAGAATGACAATTACAGAGGCACCTTAACACAGCTACACTGGCTACAACATGCTTCCGGCTGGTTTGGCTCCCAAACAGCTTTTCTTCCGCCACGAGGTTTCTCCCTAGGAGGGTGTCCTGCGAAGGACAAATTAGCTTGGACTACCCCCTACATACAGCACTGCTCCTGCTCACTCTGCCCTCCATACCAGCTTCCCCTGTCTGACAAGGACAGGAGTCCGAGCTGCCACCTGCAGTTCTGGGGGTCTCTCTGCCACCCTGCCCGCCACAGGGCTCAGGCTACTGGATCCACACTCCCTGGGGCTCCTGCTGCTGGACCCCATTGACCACCCCAGTCAACTGAGCTCCACTGAGCTTGTGCTGCAGGTCCCGCTGACCGCTGGGGCTCGGGCTGCTGGCCCCAACTGCCCGGCTCCGCTCTCCCTGGGGTTTGTGCTGCCGGCTCCCCCGCTGACAGGGGCAGGGCTCGGGCTGCTGGCCCCAAATGCCCGGCCCCGCTCTCCTTGGGGCTCGGGCTGCCGGCTCTCCCGCTGACAGGGGCAGGGCTCGGTCTGCCAGCCCCAACTGCCCGGCCCCGCTCTCCCTGGGGCTCGGGGCTGCCAGCCCCGCGCTGGGGTTTGGGTTGCCGGCTCCCCCGCTGATGGGGGCAGGGCTCGGGCTGCCAGCCCCAACTGCCCGGCCCCGCTGTCCCTGGGGCTCGGGGCTGCCAGCCCTGCCGGAGCGCTGGGGTTTGGGCTGCCGGCTCCCCCGCTGACGGGGGCAGGGCTCGGTCTGCCAGCCCCAACTGCACGGCCCTGCTCTCCCTGGGGCTCTGGTTGTCTGCCCTGCAACAGGGTCCCACCTGCTGCCTCTAATGCCGGGGTCCCCTGGCCGCCAATAATGATTTTTTTCTTGCCAACCCCCTGTAACGTTCTGCGAACCCCAGTTTGGGAACCACTGCTCTAGACCCAGTAAGAAACTTAGAATCTTGATCTCCATAGTGACAACTTCAGCTTCTAGAAATACAGGGGAAGTGGTGGTGTTAGTTAAATAATTTACATTTAAACATTGGGTTGTAACTTTCTGACATGACCATGTCCTACGGTGCTTTGGAACCAGATGTTTAATGTTAACTCTCCTATAGCATCAATATATTGCTAACTCTTTTCTGTAGCTGAGACTATAGATTTTGCTCTATTATCTGTATTACCGTACCACCTAGGAGCTCAAGTTGTGGACTGGGACTCCATTGTGCTGAGTTTCCTACAAACACAGTACAAAGATGATTTCTGCTCCAAAGAGCTTATAATCGAAGTATAAAACCAGATACAATAGATAGATACAGACAGGAAGTAATAACCGTTACATTGTTAAGTTTAAAAATATGTTGTTAGCATTTCCCCATATAGGGATGGGGTGCAGTGTTGATAGTGTTACTATGTGGCAGAGTGTGAGGGAGATAGCAGTGTTTAAGGAAGGAAACTGTTCATTAATGGTTTAAACCTCAAACACTTTCTTTCCTGTCCAGGGAGTAAATTCTCGAAATCCTCGACGGCCCCCTCCGAGCTCTGTGAACACTGGGGGCATCACAGAGATCATGGCTGAAGGGGGAGAACTAGAATTTGTCAAAAGAATTATCCACGATAGTCTGCAGCTTAAAAAAAGATTGCGGTAAGGACTGGAGTTATTAAGGAAACTTCCCTCCTCCCCCCACCCTGCTGTGGGAATCACATGGAAGGGACTTTAACTGAGGACATTTTTGTTTTGGATGAAAATCCAATTTGTGACAAAATATCTTTCTTTTTTAAATAACCATAGGTCAGGGAAGTCCACTAGCTCATTTGAGACACATTTGTAACCTTTCTGATGTCCAAGGAACACAGTTTTTACATAAAATTGAGGAGAGGACAGCGGTTCTCCCCTTCAGATTCATAGATTTTTAAGGGCAGAAAGGACTATTATGACCATCTGGTCTGACTTCCTGCATAACAACTGCAGACAACTTTTTATTTCAGAAAGTTGAAAAAGCTACTAGTGGGGAAGCTGTTCTAGACTTGATTTTAACAAATAAGGAGCAACTCATTGAGAATTTGAAAGTAGAAGGCAGCTTGGGTGAAAGTGATCATGAAATCATAGAGTTTGCAATTCTAAGGATGGGTAGAAGGGAGTACAGCAAAATAGAGACAATGGATTTCAGGAAGGTGGATTTTGGTAAGCTCAGAGAGCTGATAGGTAAGGTCCCATGGGAATCAAGACTGAGGGGAAAAACAACTGAGGAGAGTTGGCAGTTTTTCAAAGGGACACTATTAAGGGCCCAAAAGCAAGCTATTCCGATGGTTAGGAAAGATAGAAAATGTGGCAAAAGACCACCTTGGCTTAACCACGAGATCTTGCATGATCTAAAAAATAAAAAGGAGTCATATAAAAAATGGAAACTAGGACAGATTACAAAGGATGAATACAGGCAAACAACACAGGAATGCAGGGGCAAGATTAGAAAGGCAAAGGCACAAAATGAGCTCAAACTAGCTACGGGAATAAAGGGAAACAAGAAGACTTTTTATCAACACATTAGAAGCAAGAGGAAGACCAAAGACAGGGTAGGCCCACTGCTCAGTGAAGAGGGAGAAACAGTAACAGGAAACTTGGAAATGGCAGAGATGCTTAATGACTTCTTTGTTTCGGTCTTCACCGAGAAGTCTGAAGGAATGCCTAACCTAGTAAATGCTAATGGGAAGGGGGTAGGTTTAGCAGATAAAATAAAAAAAGAACAAGTTAAAAATCACTTAGAAAAGTTAGATGCCTGCAAGTCACCAGGGCCTGATGAAATGCATCCTAGAATACTCAAGCTGCTAATAGAGGAGGTATCTGAGCCTCTAGCTATTATCTTTGGAAAATCATGGGAGACGGGAGAGATTCCAGAAGACTGGAAAAGGGCAAATATAGTGCCCATCTATAAAAAGGGAAATAAAAACAACCCAGGAAACTACAGACCAGTTAGTTTAACTTCTGTGCCAGGGAAGATAATGGAGCAAGTAATTAAGGAAATCATCTGCAAACACTTGGAAGGTGGTAAGGTGATAGGGAATAGCCAGCATGGATTTGTGAAGAACAAATTGTGTCAAACCAATCTGATAGCTTTCTTTGATAGGATAACGAGTCTTGTGGATAAGGGAGAAGCTGTGGATGTGGTATACCTAGACTTTAGTAAGGCATTTGATACGGTCTCGCATGATATTCTTATCGACAAACTAGGCAAATACAATTTAGATGGGGCTACTATAAGGTGGGTGCATAACTGGCTGGATAACCATACTCAGAGAGTTGTTATTAATGGTTCCCAATCCTGATGGAAAGGCATAACAAGTGGGGTTCCGCAGGGGTCTGTTTTGGGACCGGCTCTGTTCAATATCTTTATTAACGACTTAGATATTGGCATAGAAAGTACGCTTATTAAGTTTGCAGATGATACCAAACTGGGAGGGATTGCAACTGCTTTGGAGGACAGGGTCATAATTCAGAATGATCTGGACAAATTGGAGAAATGGCCTGAGGTAAACAGGATGAAGTTTAACAAAGACAAATGCAAAGTGCTCCACTTAGGAAGGAACAATCAGTTTCACACATACAGAATGGAAAGAGACTGTCTAGGAAGGAGTACGGCAGAAAGGGATCTAGGGGTTATAGTTGACCACAAGCTAAATATGAGTCAACAGTGTGATGCTGTTGCAAAAAAAAGCAAACTTGATTCTGGGATGCATTAACATGTGTGTTGTGAGCAAGACACGAGAAGTCATTCTTCCGCTCTACTCTTCGCTGGTTAGGCCTCAACTGGAGTATTGTGTCCAGTTCTGGGCACCGCATTTTAAGAAAGATGTGGAGAAATTGGAGAGGGTCCAGAGAAGAGCAACAAGAATGATTAAAGGTCTTGAGAACATGACCTATGAAGAAAGGCTGAAAGAATTGGGTTTGTTTAGTTTGGAAAAGAGAAGACTGAGAGGGGACATGATAGCAGTTTTCAGATATCTAAAAGGGTGTCATAAAGAGGAGGGAGAAAACTTGTTCACCTTAGCCTCTAAGGATAGAACAAGAAGCAATGGGCTTAAACTGCAGCAAGGGAGGTTTAGGTTGGACATTAGGAAAAAGTTCCTAACTGTCAGGGTGGTTAAACACTGGAATAAACTGCCTAGGGAGGTTGTGGAATCTCCATCTCTGGAGATATTTAAGAGTAGGTTAGATAAATGTCTATCAGGGATGGTCTAGACAGTATTTGGTCCTGCCATGAGGGTAGGGGACTGGACTCGATGACCTCTTGAGGTCCCTTCCAGTCCTAGAATCTATGAATCTATAACACAGGCCAAGGAAGTTCACTCAACGATTCTTGCATCTAGTCCTGCAACTTGCAGTTGAAGTACAATATCTTTTTAAGAGACCCAGTCCTGATTTCAGGACACCATGGGAAGGAGGATTTCACATCCTGTGGTAGTCTGTCCAATGATTTATCACCCACACAATTAAAAACTTGCATCTATTTTTTTTCCAATTTGAATAATGTTGATTTTAAACTTCCAGCCATTGGATCATGTCACACCTTTGTCTTTTAGATTAGAGTCCTTTAGTATCACATCTCCTCTTTGTGTAGGCAAATGATAGTCACTGCTAGAGATCTTCTCTTTAACAAGTTAAATAGATGGAGGTCCTTTAGTTTCTCAGAGTAACGCATTTTTCCAGACCATAAATAATTCTTGTAGTTCTTCTCTGAACTCTACAATTTTTTTTTTTACTTCCTTTTCAAGTGTGGACAGCAGAACTGGGCATAGTATTCTAAATACTTCACCAGTGCTATATACAGAGGTAATATTGCCTTCCTTCACCAATCTGATATTCCCATTTATATACCTGGGGATCGAATTAGCTCTTATAGCCAGAATAATGCACTGGGAGCTCATGTTCAGGCAGCTAACTACCTTTTTCTAGAATACCTGCTTTCCAGGATACAGTCCTGAAAGTATGCTCCAGTCTTTATTGCTTGTTTGGCTATATTAAAACATATTCATTTTGTAGTACTTTGAAAAAGAATGGAGAGTTGCCCAGTTTGCATTTTTGCAGACCTCTTCATAAGATGCTCTGTTTTAACTGTCCAAGAAGTGGGAGTAGATCTTGTAGAATGTACTCTTACTGGAAGGCTGATAACACTTCCACTCTTAAGATTCAAAAGCAACTCAGACCAATAGGAGCTAGATCTAAAGACTTCCAAAGAAACGTTAGTTCTTGTCATCAAAAGAAATTAAGAAAACTTCCGAGTTCCTGAGAGACTTTGACCTATCCAGGAGCAATTTTAATGGCGCTACGGCCATCTAGGCAGTGCCAACTTTCCTTTTTAGAATGAGAGCGCTTGGGACAGGTGATATGAAGGTGTTGTGGTTTAGCTGAGAAGGTTGTGGTAGTACCATATTGTCAGGAAACAGATGATTCCTTGATTGACAAGGCATTATACTCACTGATCCCTCTTGTAGAGATGAATGCCACAAGAAAGATCACTTTAGTAAGGGAAAACAAAGATTTAACAGCTATTGTCTGGTGGCCTCTGGTACCAAAGAGCTGGAGTTGGAGGACTGGTGTACATCTCTTGGCCTAATTAGATGAAGGCATCTATCTTTTATGCCTTGTGTTTCCAAAATCTGGAAAAGTCATCCAACTTGTTGCTGCTATTTAATATAAGAAGTTGCTCTGGGAAGTTTGTAACTGCAGAATAACTGACTTAATGCTATGTTCTGGTCTTATTTCGCTAGAGACAACTCAACCAAATGGCCAGAATGTTGAGCTACCCTTTACATAGGAACTGAGACTTGCTGGCCCAGGGGTCGGCAACCTTTTGGAAGTGGTGTGCCGAGTCTTCATTTCTTCACTCTAATTTAAGGTTTTGCGTGCCAGTAATACATTTTAATGTTTTTAGAAGGTCTCTTTCTATAAGTCTATAATATATAACTAAACTATTGTTAGTTTAGTGTGATCCTTGTCCTTGCTTTTCCTTGCTGAGTTTTCCAATATCTGGCACGTATTTGGAATCTTTAAGCTGCACGCAGGCTTCTGAGTGATCAGTTGTTAACCGGCTCCGAGAGGGGCAGAGGACAGATTTCATGTGTGAAAATACCTGTTCACACAGGTATGTGGATCCAAATGCTGAAAGCATTGCAAACGCAATTTTCTTCAAACAGTTAAATTTCATTGGCAGGGCCGTCCAGCAGGTCAGAGGCCCCATGATCTCTCTCAGTAGCTTCAAGTGCACTCCGCAGATCTCCAATTTTTGATGCCCACAATTCTGAACTTTTTAACTGAATGAGTTGCATTTCGAAATCTTCAACACCCATCCACTGAAATATGGACAAATCCAAGTAGCTTTTGTTGAACTTTTCAGGTTTAATTAGAAAAGAAAGCATTGGGCCAAATCGCTGGAAATCTTGAAATCTGTTAGAAAATTCTGATTCCTGTTCTTGGATGTACATTCTAATCTCAATGTCAAACGCAGTGCGCTGTTCCACGTGGCATGATAGTGATGTAAGTAGCAAATCAGGACTTAAAAATACCCCAGCATAGTGGTGCTGGAACAATTTTTAAGGTGGGGGTGCTGAGCTGCGCCCCCTCTTGCCCCAGTCTGCACCCCTCACTGTCGCAGTCTGGGGCCAGTGGGCCACAGCTGGGGGCGCCTGCAGAGCCCCGGGCCGGCGGCCTGGACCCCAGGCCAGCAGTGGACTGATCGGGGCCGGCAGATGGAAGAATTAATTGGCGAAATTCTCTGGCCTATTATGCAGGAGGTCAGACTGGTGTCTTTTGGCCTTATAAAAAACAAAAAATCTATTAATCTTATTTTCAGTTGAATTCTGGTTTTATTAGATTCTTCATAATGCCTCATGAAAACTGTTTTTATTTATCTTTCATACTTGTACCCGTGATCACTTTAAAGCATTTTTATCTCTCAAAGAAGCTGCTTAAAATATGTAGAGAATACTGCATTTCAGTAATTGAAAACTCTCTGGGTACAAAGTTTTAACAGTGTATTTACAAATTATTCCATTGGGCCCCAAAACCTCTTCTAAAAATTTTTGGGGAAGTTCCCGTAAAGGAATTTTGGGAAATTCTGCTGAAGAACACAGACTTTTGCCTTTGGAAGAATGAGAGACCTGGATCCAAAGGAGATGGTGAGCTCCCAGAAGCAGGGTAATCTCTCTCTGCTCTCATCCTTCTGTTTGCCCACTGGTGAGATATGGATTTAGAGAGCTGGAAACTGGGAGAATTAATGTATCTAAATTTCTCATAAGCAGAGATACCAGGGAGGGGGTCTGTTTTTTTTTTTCAGGCACAAGCTCTTATTTTGCTACTGTCATCTCTCTTCATTCCTTGGAAAGTTAAAATTGAAAGTTTGAAACAAATTATTGTAAAGGGTACTATTTTCCAAAGCACTTTGTTATTTTTGAAAATGGGACAGTTAGAGTTGCTTAGAAACTTTTTAAAATTTTACCCAAAAATCTAATATTGAAAAAATCCAGGCAGATTTCTTTCCTTGGTCTCCTAGTTTATACACTTGCTCAAATCATATTGCTAATATGGGTTTGCCACTATTTTTAACTAGAGAGCATTTCCCCTCCTGTGATGCTTGCAGACCTCTGATGTGAACCCTTTGCAGTTAGTTGCCATTTTCAGTTGAACTGTTTCTAAAACACCTTAATTTAAAATGTTGTCCACAGGTGGTACAGCTGCATGCTGGGAAAGAAATGCAGTTTAGCTCCATTAAAAGAAGAACTTCGAATTCAGGGGGTAAGTTTGTCTCCAAATACACTAGGGTTGCATATACTGCTTCCTGATACTGTGCATTTGTGTTGCCTGTTTTTGTCCCTTAAAAAGAAAGGTTTCTTACAAGTTACTGAACTATAGTTCTTTGGAAGGTGCTTTTGTATTATGGAGGCACTGGTAGCAACTCCAAAGTTGAGGTGAAGCAGAGTTTTGAACTTAAAGCAGGGATTCAACCTCTTGTATGAGAAGGCACTGTATTCTCCAAGTTTTCAGCACTGAATTTTTGAGAATTTGCAAGAGCTGTTTTTCCTCAGTTAATTTGTATGCTACAAATATATTGGTTCTAATTAATTCAGTATGAGCACAGTACATATATCAAGAGTCCTCATTGGTAAGTTACTTGATGATCTTTAGACTTAACAGAACACTGAATTGGCTCCTTGTGTTTTAAGGATCAGGCATCTTACTCCTTCCACCCACAGCCTTGTCTCAGTGGGTTCCCTTAGAAGCAGACAGTCTGAGTAATGCTGTATATATTCAGTGGAAGAATTACCCCCACTTAACACACAGGCATGGGGGAGGTAGGCAGCAACAGAATCTTCCCGAAAAGTGAGATGTATAGCATTAGCTGCCACTAGCAAGGAGTAGATAGCAGAATTCACACCTGCAAAAAATGTTTCTGGTGGCTGTGATGGGTTCCCCCTAGGGTGCCACTTGGAACTTGGGTATCACTGAGCTCGCCTTTTCTGCCAGCCTGGACTTCCTTATACTGTCCTGCTGAGCCAGGCCCCCAAGCCTCCTCCAGCGCGCACACATAGGTAGGGGCACATGCAGCTGCAGAAAGACACAGACATGAGATCAGTTCTGCTTGGGAAAGCTCAGCTAAGGAACTGGCCAGCACTCAAGTGCACACCCCCTCTGGAGTGTAAACCCAAAATTGTATAATCTTGCGCTGCACAGAGAACTGTATAGCATAAGCTCATAAAATTCGCCCCCTCCCTTAATGTGGAGGAAGATATGCACAGCGAATTCCACAAACTGGTTTTAGAGAAAGCAAGAACAAGTTTATTAACTACAAAAGATAGATTTTAATTGATTATAAGGGTTAGCAAACAGATCAAAGCAGGTTACCTATCAAATGAAACAAACATGCAAACTAAGCTTAAGATACTAAAGAAACTGCTTACAAACAGTAATTTCTCACCCTAAATGTTGTTTTAGGCAGATTGCAGAGATTCTTGAAGGCAAGCTGCTCTTGCTTGCAGCTTAAAATTCCAGGTATTTCTTTCACAGGCCAGACATCTTCCCAGCCTGGGTTCAGTCCTTTTCTTCTCACCCACCCTTCTTTATTTCTTAGATGTTTCCAGCTGTCATCCTGGGCTGGATTCAGTGAAGAACGACCCTTGATTATCTCTCTCCCCTGCCTTAAATAGGTTTTACATATGTCAAGAGCCTTTTGTTTCCCAGAGTGCCCTGTGCGTGCCTCCCCCGCCTCCCTTCCCCCCCC